CAAGCGCTTTACCACTGAGCCATCTTCCCAGCCCAAAACAGATAAAGTTCTATTTTGTTGTTTTTGGTTATTTTTCATGCCTGTCCTGGGTTTGAACTCAGGACCTGAGTGCTATCTCTGAGCTCAAGTCTAGCAGTCTACAACTTGAGTCATGGCTCCATATATGCATACATAAATAATTTTTTTTTTTTTGTTTTTGGTCACAAAAAAATCCCCAAAACTTCAAGAGTCTGTAGACTTTCCTGCCTGGGCTGTCTTTGAACCACAATCCTCAGATCTCAGCCTCTTGAATTTCTAGGATTACAGGTGTGAGCCACCTGCACTCAGCAAAGTTCTGTATTTTTTCTTGTATGGGCTCTGTCCCTGAGCTTTTTTTCCCTCAAGGCTAGTTTTTTACCACTTTGAGCCACAGTACCACTTCCACTTTTCTGGCTGTTAATTGGAGATAAGAGTCTCATGGATTTTCCTGACTGGGCTGACTTCGAACTGCAATCCTCAGATATCAGCTTCCTGAGTAGCTAGGAGTATAGGCATACGCCACTGCCACCTGGCTGAGTTCTGTATTTTATTTATTTTTCTGTTGGTCGTGGAACTTGAACTCTGGGCCTGAGTGCCGTCCTTGAGCTCTTCAGTTCAAGATGAGTGCTTTACCACTTGAGCCACAGGTCCACTTCCCATTTTCTGGTGGTTAATTGGAGATAAAAGTCTCATGGACTTTCCTGCCCAGTCTGGCTTTGAACCGTGATCCTCAGATCTCAGCCTCCGGATAGCTCGGATTACAGACATGAGTCACTGGTGCCTGGCTTTTATTCATATGGGCTCAATAATAATTTTTCTTCAGTCATGGGGCTTGAACTCAGGGCTTGGGCAGTGAGCCCAAGGTCTCACTCAAGGTCAATGCTCTACTGCTTTGAGCCACAGAAGTGCCATTTCTGGCGTTTAATTTGAGATAAAAGTCTCATTGACTTTCCTGCTCTGGCTGGCTTTGAACTATAATCCTTACTTCCTGAGTAGCTAGGATTACAGATGTGAGCCACCAGTGCCCCATCTGAGTTCTGAAGGGAGAGGATTTTTATTTTATTTATTTATTTTTTATTTTTATTTTTTGCCGGTCATGGGGCCTGAACTCTGGGCCTGGGCGCTGTCTCTCAGCTCTTCAGCTCAAGGCTAGTGCTCTACCACTGGAGCCACAGCGCCACTTCTGGCTTTTTCTGTTTATGTGGTGCTGAGGAATCGAACCCAGGGCCTCATGCTTGAAAGGCATGTACTCTACCGCTGAGCTACCTTCCCAACCCTGGGAGAGGATTTTTAAAAGGAGATGATACAGGCCCAGAGTTCAAGCCCCACGACTGGAAAAAACAAACAAACAGATGATAAATAGGGCATGATGAAAGAAGGACATTTTAGATAGAGAAATTGCAGGAAAAAGAATTATGGAGAAACATAACTTTTGTGAAGTTGGGATGGGTATATCCAAATAGTGTAGAGAGTTGCAAGAGGGTACTGGATAGATCTAGATTAAGGGTCTTGTATGTAAACAAAAAGAATCAGGGTTTTCACCTCTGCAGAAGGGAACTTACCAAAGGTTTACAAATGGAGTATAATCAGCTTTGTGTTTTAAGAAGAAATAATTTTGGTGTCAATATTAGAGATTGACTAAAGAGTAGGGAGACTTGTCAAGGACACTGTTCATAGTTTCATTGAAAGTGATGTGTTGAAGAAAAAGACAGGTGAGAAATAAGGCTGAGGAAGATAGGAAAGAGGCTAGTCATCTCTTCTGAAAAAAAGAGGTGTTAATATATTTAGTTTTAGAAACTGAGGCTGGGATTAAAAGGAAGTTGAGATTAGAATGGTACAATGTAAGTTCTGGACATTTGAAATTAGATTTTGGCTCCATGCCTGTTTTGCTTACTAAGTTTATTTGTCAAAATAGTATTAAAAAACTCTACAATTAGACAACAGTAAAACTTAATTAAAAAATGAGCAAAAGGACCTAAGTAGACATTACTCTAAAGAAGATGTATAAATGACGAGTATACACATCTAAAAATACTCAACTAGGCAAATACAAATTATAGTCACAGTGGCATACTATTTTACAAAGTAAGTTAGTTGACTATTATTTAAAAAAAATATAAAGCTAGGTACTCTTTATCTTGTACCTGTTGTAGCTAATTGGGAGCAAAGATTAGGAGGAACAGAGTTTGAGAACACAAACAGGAGATCCTCTATCTCAATTAATAGCTGGATTCTTTGGCATGTCCCTGTCATTCTAGCCATGTGGGAAGCTTAAATAGCTGAATTATATAGTCCATGCCTGCCTGAGCATACCCTTGAGACCCTATTCAAAAAATAATGAAGGCTAAAAGGACTAGGGGCTGTGTGGTTCAAGTTGTAGGCAACTTGCCTAGGATGCTCACATTCTCAAGTTCAACCCCTCAGTACTAACAAATTAAAACAGAACAAATAGAAAAATAACAAATGTGAGTTTTTTGTTTTTGCTGGTACAGGGTTTAAACTCAGTGCCTTGTGATTGCTTAGCTTGTGCACTTGGCTAGCAGTCTGTCACTAACCACATCTTCAGTCTGATGTTTTGCTAATTATTTTGGAGATGAAGTGTCTTGGACTTTTCTCCCCAGGCCAGTCTTGAACCACCATCCACTGAATTTCAGCTTCCTTGGTAGCTAGAACATCAGCACTTAGAAAAATAAATTTTATTTGTTCAGAGACTGGAACCCTTGTGCATTGCTGTTGATGATGTAAAACTGCTGTGGAATGGCTTGTGGCTTCCATTTCCAAAAAGTTTTTTTTTTTTTTTTTGTAGAATTACCTTACAATTCAGAAATTCCACTTCTTGGTATATACACAAAGGAAAGCAGGGAATCATAGTTGTGCACCAGGCATTATTCACAGTGACCAGAAGGTGGAGCTAGTTCATGCAACCCATCAATTGCTAATGGATAAATAAAATAGGGTATACGTCAGCAGTGAATATTACTCAGTTTTAAAAAGGAAAGAGATACTGATACATGCCACAACATGGCCCAACCTTGGAAATATGTTAAATGACCCCCAAAGGACATATGTTATTAATTCCCCTTAAATATGAGCATAGAAGAAAGTTCATAAGGTTAGCAGACTAGAAGAGATAAGGTGAGAGTAAAATGGAGAGTTACTGTCTAATGGGCACTGTTTCTGTTTGGGATGAGGAAAAAGTTAAGCAAATGTATAGTGGTGATATTGATTTAATGAATTTTGTTAATACTGTGATATTTACAATTTAATGCTATTGAATTATGACCTTAAAATGGTTAAAATGATGAATGTTGTATGTGTTTTGCCACAATAAAAAACATAAAATGCCATTAAATAATTGCAATAAGTGATTGTTACAAATGCCTGTTAAAGTTTAATGGTTTTAAGTGCATATTTTGTAAGATGTGCTTTTAAGGAAAAGAGTCTTTAAGTCTAGAAAGGATCTAAGAAAATTAATTGGAAGGTAAGTCTTGAGACTATACCGTAATTTTAGACTGTTAGTTTTTAGCACTGTGTGGGATGACAGGGTTTAGTGTAGCACTGTGTGGGATGAAAGGGTTTAGTGTAGGTTGAGCCACTATTGAGTTTTTTTTTTTTTGGGTCCGGTTGTGGGGCCTGAACTCTGGGTCTGGGCACTGTCCCTCAGCTCTTCAGCTCAAGGCTAGTGCTCTACCACTTGAGCCACAGTGCCACTTCCGGCTTTTTTCTTTTTGCTTATGTGGTGCTGAGGAATCGAACCCAGGGCCTCATGCATGCAAGGCAAGCGCTCTACCACTGAGCCACCTTCCCAGCCCCACTATTGAGTTTTTGCTGTAAGGCTATAGCTAGTGGGTTTTTGATTTTTATCTTTTCATAAGATCTAATTGTAAACATATTTTTCCTTATAATAGTTAACATTAATTAGTCTGTTTTTACTTTTTGTTCTCATAGTATGTATGTTGAGGAGAAAGGAAAGGTTTACATATATGTCATTATTTAGATGCCATGATTACTCAAATAGCTTATTAATTAGGTTCAGTATCATAAGTAATCATTTTGTTTTGATTTTAGGCATTATGGTGTGACTTCATTATATCACAGGATAAGTCTGAAAAGATCTACCGTAAGTTCCTTTTTGAAATTTCATTTCTCATAAGACTCAAAATGTTTCATGTTCTTTTTTTTTTTTACAATAATAGTAGTTTAAGCACTTTTGTATTGTGCATTAAAGTATTTGTACTGTAAGGATTGGATTCTTCAGTGAAAAAATTCCATAAACATTATGTCCTATCTTTTCAGGTAGCCATGAGTTAGAAAAATGCATCTGTATATTGCAAAGCTCGTGTATTAACATGCATAGCATAGAAGGAAAGGATTATATAGCTTCTTTACCATTTCAGGTAAACTTGACTGCTTTAATTTGTGTATGTGTGTGTGTGTATTGTTAGACAACTTTGGTTTTTTTTTTTTTTTTGGTCGGTCGTGGGGCTTTTGAACTCTGGGCTTGGACGCTGTCCCTCAGTATTTCAGCTCAAGGCCAGTGCTCTACCACTTGAGCTACAGCGCCACTTCTGGTTTTCTGGTGTTTTTTTTTATTGGAGATAAGAGTTTCACGGACTTTCCTGCCTGGGCTGGCTTTGAACTGCTACCCTCAGATCTCAGCCTCCTGAGTAGCTGGGATTACATGCGTCAGCCACCGGCGCCTGGCTTTAGACAATTTAGCCTCACAGTGTCTAGATAGGTAGTCTACTCACCACCATTCCTTTTTTTTTAAGTTGGTTGTGGGGCTTGACCTAGGCCTGGGCTCTCCAGCTCAAGGCTAGCGCTCTACCACTTGAGCCACAGAGCCACTTTTAGCTTTTTCTGTTTATGTGGTGCTGAGGAATCGAACCCAGGGCCTCTCTCTCTACCATTGAGCCACTTTCTTAGCCCCTGACCATCATTCTTAGTATATTCCAGAGCTATCTCTTATGTATTGCAACCTAGAATGTTGGTTCAAATACAACTCAAATACAGTAACTAAGTTTTAGTAGCTATTGTGGCTTACTATTTTTGTAACCTTCACACAAATAAAAAGTTATTTAATGAGGGGCTGGGAAGGTGGTTCAGTGGTAGAGTGCCTGCCTTGCATGCCTGAGGCCCTGGGTCCGATTTCTCAGCACCACATAAGCAAAAAGAAAAAAGCTGGAAGTGGCGCTGTGGCTCAAGTGGTAGAGTGCTAACCTTGAACTGAAGAGCTGAGGGACAGTGCCTAGGCCCAGAGTTCAGGCCCCACGACCGGATCCCCCTCCCCCCCCCAAAAAAAGTTATTTAATGAAGTGAATTATAAAGTCAGTATTTTGTCAGCTTAAATGATATATAAGAAATCATTTTGGTTCTAATAAATCTTTAATGTTTAGTGCTATTGAAATGTTTATTGTTTAATTTTAATTGAGTTTTTTGAGACTAGGTACGTATGTAGCCTAGGCTAGCCTTGATCTCCCTACCTCAGCTTTCTGAGGGCTCAGATTACAGGTTTGTGCTTCCACACTGGTTACTGTTAAAATTTTAACACATTGTCATTTTGATACTGATATTAGCTATGGGCAAGTATTTCACATCAAACACCTCTTTATTAGATTTGACTTTATCTTAGAATTGCTTGTTAGAATTAACTACTTTCAACTATTATAGTTAGTGATCATATTACTTTGTAAAGTTCTCTTTGGTGTTGTCCTGTTGTCTAAAACTGTTTCATAAAGAAAGATTAGATTCTCTTACTGATATCTTTTCACACCCTTATATTTGATAGGTTGCAAATGTTTGGGCCACTAAATATGGATTATTGTTTGAAAGAAGCAGTTCTTCACATGAGGTACCTCCAGGTCCACCCAGGTATTCATTTTTATTCATTGCAGTCTTATGTTTGGACCTCTTTAGAGTTGGTTTTGAGGTAAAAATTTGAAACTAAAAGTTTAAGGTGATGATAATATCCATACTCATAAGAGAGATATATGCTGTTTTTTTCTTATCAGTATTGTACACTTCTGAGTTGTATTCATGTGGCACTTAATTTTCTGTAGCTCCTCTCTATCTCCAAGTACTAAACTTAAATAAAAAAATACATTAATGAGAGCTGGGCGCCAGTGGCTCATGCCTGTAATCCTAGCTACTCAGGAGGCTGAGATCTGAGGATCATGGTTCAAAGCCAGCCCGGGCAGGAAAGTCCGTGAAACTCTTTATCTTCAATAATCTACCAGAAAGCTTCAAGTGGTGCTGTAGCTCAAGTGGTAGAGCGCTAGCCTTGAGTTGAAGAGCTGAGGGATAGCACTCAGGCCCAGAGTTCAAGCCCCATCACTGACAAACAAAAACAAAAACAAAGTTAATAATAATGTTGAGTTCTGCACTGTGCCATATCTCGTGCTATTTTGGACCAATCTTAGCTTTAATTTCCTTACCTGTTATAGGAATACTTCATGTACTTTATAGGTTCTACCCAGATATTCAAGAAGCTGAATGTATATAAATTTTGAAATGGTCTAGTATACATAAGTGCACAGAAACCACTTCATGCTTATTGGTAGTGTATTTATTTTGGTCCTCTATAAATTTTGAGCTCATTGAAGAGTACAGTGTGCCTACCCATACCCACTTGCTAGGTTTTCAGAAAATTATTACAGATTTTAATCTTTTTGCTTTGAAAATATATATTCCACTTAAAAGCAACCATTCCTTAAAAGAGCAAGACTTTAATTTACTTAAAAAAATACTCCTTTGTGAACACATATAGGAGGCTAATTTTTTTTTTAGTTACCATAGATGTACTGTCCATATGAGAGACACAGGAAAAGACTGCCTTTGCCTGTTACTCTGGGGGTTCTGTAATGTGCTGGCTGCTAGTTGCAAATGTGCGTGGTCTGTGTTTTTTTCCTTCTGTGTATGCATGTATAGAATCCTACAAGGAGATTTCTAGGAATCAATAGAATAGGCCTAAAAAATTGAAAGGTTGCCTTTTTTTTTGTACTGGGGCTTTAATTCAGGGCCTAGACACTGTGCCTTAGTTCTTTTGCTTGAGGCTAGCATTCTACCACTTGACCATACCTCCACTTCTGGCTTTTGGTGGTTAATTGGAGATAAGAGTCTCATAGTCTTCTTGTCTGAGCTGGCTTTGAATAGTAATCCTTAGATCTCAACCTCCAGAGTGGCTGGGATAACAGGCTTGAGTCCAGCCAGAAGGTTGTTTTTTGAGGTCATGCTTGGTTTTTTGGAGAAGATTCATTTGCAAGGAAAGTTCGCCGTTTGTGTACAAAGAGTTATCTTGTATTGGTGATTAATTGATTATGTGTTTGTTTATTGCTAGAGAACCTTTGCCAACCATGTTCAGCATGCTGCACCCACTAGATGAAATAACCCCCCTTGTTTGTAAATCTGGAAGTAAGTACATTTTTATATTCTTTTAAGTAAGCTCTTTTTGGGCTTTGGAGAGGGATGGAATATATGTGTGTGTGTATATATATATATATATATATGCAAAATATATATAAAATATGTAGCTGTTTTAGTAGTGTTTTGTTTCAGTACTATTTGATTGGTTTTATAAAGTATATAAACATACTAAAGAACTTTTGGAAATCAAACTTGGCAGAGTTGATTACAATTTATGAGGGATGGTCAGTAGAGGGCTCTTGGACTTTTTACCTTGGCTGATGAATTTAATGGAGATTAAGCCCAAGTATTCAGTGTTCACTTGCATGTATATAAAATTGAAACTTGAAATGCTTTAATGCATTTTAAGAAAGTTGATTCCCAAAGTAAACTTACAATTCAGGGAGAATTGCATAATATTTAATGTAGTTCATGCTTTTAGTTGGCTTGTTTTTTCTTTACCTTTAGGAATGTTAAGAACTCAGTTCATAAAGATCAGTCTTACAAAGACCATTGTTCAATACCTGATTATTTTTGTTTTATTTCTAAGGTCTTTTTGGGTCACCACGAGTGCAGTATGTTGTAGATCCTGCAATGAAAATTGTGTTCCTCAACACGAACCCTTCCATTGTAATGACCTATGACAGTGTTCAAAATGTACATTCTGTGTGGACTCTCAGGAGAGTCAAATCAGAGGTAAGAGTGAAGTTACTTCTAAATATTAAAGGTAGTGACTTACAAACATTGTCATGTTTTTAGATGCATCACATGTGTCTTTAAAACGAGTGCCTTGGGGCTGGGAAGGTGGCTCAGTGGTAGAGCGTTTGCCTTGCATGCATGTGGTCCTGGGTTCGATTCCTTAGCACCACATAAGCAGAAAAAGCCAGAAGGGGTACTGTGGCTCAAGTGGTAGAGTGCTAGCCTTGAGCTGAAGATCTGAGGGACAGCGCCCAGGCCCAGAGTTCAGGCCCAACGACATATAAAAAAGAAAGAAAGAAAGAAAGAAAGAAAAAACGAGTGCCTTGTATTCTTATGAAGAAATGACCTTTTTTAAAAAAATAAATTTTATTGTCAAAGTGATGTACAGAGGGGTTATAGTTGCATGCGTAAAGTAGTGAGTACATTTCTAGTTAAACATTGTTTCTCCCTCCCTTGTTTTTGTCCCACAGAAATGACCTTTTGATTCTGATTACTAATTTTCTTTTTCCTCTCCACTTTGGCTGAAGGAAGAAAATGCTGTTTTAAAGTTTTCTGACCCAGGGGGGACTCCACAGAATGCAGCTACCAGCAGCTCTCTCACGGCACATCTCAGAAGCCTCTCAAAAGGTGAATCTCCGGTGGCTTCACCTTTCCAGAACTACTCTTCCATTCACAGCCAGAGTCGCTCAGCATCATCGCCCAGTCTACACTCGCGTTCTCCTTCCATTTCCAACATGGCAGCTCTAAGGTAGAAATGTCTCCTGGTTTAAACTAAGTACTGTAAGCAAGCTTTCTGTTATGTTCTGAAAGATTTATGGTTGCTATTGACATAAATGCTGTTGATATCCTTGGGTATTTGTGCTAGTTTTACTAAGACTTCTAAGTCTGCTATGTTATTTTTCCCAATGATTCATATTTAGACACTTTATTATACTACTTTGTTCTACCACCATATGGTAGTAATTGGATGAATATAAACTTGGGAAATACTTGATAGTTTCCTCTGACCTTAGTTTTTTTCAGTTTTCTTGTTTTTGATAATTAATACCATCTTGTGTGTGAGAGAGAGTTTTGTTTTCTGATGAAGAATATGAACTAATTTGTTTTAAAAGGATGTATTACTTTAACAAGAATTCTGAATTTTAGAATATAGTAAAGCAGATTGACATAAACCATTTAAAAATACGTTTGTTAAAAAATTTTTTTCTTGTTGGGATTATGCTAGGAATACTGTTCAGTGTGAAGAATTTCGGTGCATGTTACAGGAATGTGTATTCCATGAGGCTGAATTACTAATTGTGAAACCTTTCTCTGATTGTTTTGCAGTCGTGCCCATTCTCCTGCCTTGGGTGTGCATTCCTTTTCAGGGGTGCAAAGGTTCAACCTATCAAGCCATAATCAATCTCCAAAGAGACACAGTATTTCTCATTCTCCCAATAGTAATTGTAATGGCTCCTTTCTTGCACCAGAAACAGAGCCAATTGTTCCTGAACTGTGCATTGATCATTTGTGGACTGAGGCAGTTACTAATACAAGGTTTGGAATATATAATTTTTTATTCAAAGAAAAATATTGCTAAAAGTCTTTGAAAATGCTTGGATATTAAATCTAGGGTAGTAGTTGTGTAGTATTTACTTACGATACATGAGGCCACTTAGTAATCTGTGAGATAAGTGATGTTTGATATTTTAAGGAAAATTAACTGCTTTTTGTATATAATTTGTAATTTGTGGTTTATGACTTTTTAAAAAGTTGTAACTATATTGTCAGCTCTGCTCTTTTAGACACAGCTTAGACCTCCATTCTCTGTGACCTTTATCCTTTTCTATTCTCTTTAATAACTTATGTATTAATTCAACAACATGCTAATATGTGTTCCATTTAACAAACTAATAACTTACTGTCCATACCTCAAAGAAAAGAGAAGGGTCAAGGGTGGTGTTAGAGCAGAGTCGTGGAATAATTCTGGTAGGGCTCTGGAAAGATGAATAGTTATTTGCTGGAAGAATGGGGAAGGTCATAGTAGGCAGCTGCACTCGGTAGAAAAATTCAGGACTGTGAGTGGGCAGCATATGCAGGGAAATTCAAAGTTTACTACTTTGGTTTGTATGGTGAAGGAAGAGGAGCTTGAGAGAGGGATTACCTGGAAGGCCTGTTCTCTGATGAGAGTAGCAAGAAGGCTATATATGTGTGTTGTAACTGCCGGGGAAAGAGCAGAGCAACACACAAGGGAATTGTATAGGTTAAAAAAAAATGGGCTAGGCAAGATAGGTGGATTAAAATTTAAGAAGTATGTAGAAGTGGGTCTGGAGCTCCTAGAGTCTGTAATATGTATTAAAAGTAGGAGTATCTCATGCATAGAATCCTAGCTTCTCAAAAGGATGCTGAGATGTGAGGATTGTGATTTGAAGCCAGCCTGGGCAGGAAAGTCTGTGAGACTCTTTATATCAGTTTACCACCAAAAAGCCAGAAGTGGAGCTGTGGCTCAAGTGGTAGAGTGCTAACCTTGAGCAAAAATAGTTCAAGAAGAGTTCCTAGCCTTTGAGTTCAAGCTCCAGGACCAGCACATACACATATACACACATGAAAAAAAAGTAAGAACATTTTCTTAACGACACCATTTTTATTTACAGTCAACCAAATTGAGCCCATTTTAAACATTTTAATATTTACTCCTTTTTATTTTAAGATTGTTTTAGATATTCTACCACTGAGCTAGGATTGCTCTTCCTGCCCAGAAGTGCTTCTGGACCACAGTTTGCCTATTTCAGGCTTACTATAATAGCTGAGATGTTGGGCATGTGTTTCTCTACCCAGACATTGACATGGAATCGCATATATTTTTCTGTTCAAGCTAATCCAAAACTGCAGTCCTCCTGGTCTCAGCCTCACATAGCTAGGGTGACAGATCTGTGTAACTGTGCCCACCTATTTGTTGAGAAAAGGGGTCTTGTAAACTATTTTCTGCTCAAGCTGGCTTCAAATCATTGTTTTCTCAGTCTTGGCTTCTTAGGTAGCTAGGATTACAGGTATGAGCCTCCAGTGCCTGGCTTGTGTTTTTTTTTTTTTTTTTTGTCAGTCTTGGGGCTTGAACTCTGGGCCTGGGCACTGTCCCTGCGCTCTTCAGCTCAAGGCGAACGCTCTACCCCTTGAGCCACAGCGCCACTTCTGGTTTTCTAGTGGTTTTTATTGGAGATAAGAGTCTCACGGACTTTCTTGCCTGGGCTGGCTTTGAACCACAATCCTCAGATCTCAGCCTCCTGAGTAGCTAGGATTACAGGAGTGAGCCACCGGCACCCCGCTGCCTGCCTTGTTTTAAGACTGAATATGAGACAGACTATTCTGTCTAAAAGCATGAAAAGCACTGAAAATAGAGGGACAAGAAATGATTGATATATCACAGAACCTGAAAGAAGCCTGAGTGGAGAGATTAGATTTAGGAAGAAAGATTGGTAATTAGCTACACAGTCATGAAACTCATTCATAAAAGTATTTTTGTGTCTTCAAAGGTTTTTTTTTTTTTGGTTGGTCTTTGGGCCTGAACTCTAGGTCTGGGCGCTGTCCCTCAGCTCTTCAGCTCAATGCTAGTTCTCTACCACTTGAACCACAGCGCCACTTCCAGCTTTTTCTGCTTATGTGGTACTGAGGAGTCCAACTCAGTGCTTCATGCATGTGAGGCAAGCACTCTACCACCAAGCCACCTTCCCAGTCCTCTTCAAAGTTCTTGAGTCAGATAGCTTTAAAATTTGTGTAGATTATTTTAGAAGAGTTTTAGTAGTTATTGAAGTTGACATTTGGACCAGTGCTGACACTTTTTTAAATTAATCTATTACAGAGAGAAAAATTCACAAGCCTCAAAGGTATTTATTACAACTGATCTATGTGGACAAAAATTCTTGTGCTTTCTAGTGGAGTCCCAATTCCAGTTGCGGTAAGTGCTTATATTTCCCATTGTTTCTATGTAAATTATTTAGGGCTGGTTTCTTCCTTCTTTTAAGATTTTTTTTCAGTATCTTTATTTAGAAGTAATTTACATATAATTTCACATGCTTTATATATTAATAAATTATTTGTGTGGGTGTATGTGTATGCAGTTTTCTCATATGTGAGGATTTGTGTAAATACCCTCACAATGAAGATATAAAATACCTTTATCATGTTATAGCTTGCCCTTTCCTTTTATAGTTATAGACCTCCTACCCTCAATCCTTCTGAGTACAACTATTCTCCATCCTTATTTTTCCCTTTTGAGACAGTTAAGGAAACAGAAGGATACAGCGTGTAACCTTTTAAGACTTATTTTCCATTCAGCGGTATTTAATATTTAATATATTTAAGACAGATACAGATTGCATGTATCAGTAGCTTATTTTATTTTATTAATATTTAGCTGTGTGAAGTTTCAAGAGAGTAATGACAAAACCCAGCTCATTTTTGGCTCTCTCACCAACATACACGCAAAGGATGCAGCACCCGTGGAGGTAAATACAGGCACATTTCTTGAGAATTTGCAAATTATTATGCTTCATCAAAATCATGTTAGTTTGATCAGATTGGAAAAGAAATATTTTCTTTTTTTAGAAGGTAGACACCATGGTAGTCCTGGAATGCAATGGAAACCTTGTGCTGTACACAGGAGTGGTTAGGGTAAGTAAAAAGTAGCATGTCTTGCTCTCAGTAGGACTGCCTTCACTATTTATATAAGGGTTTTTGTGCCTGTCTGCACAGCTTGGCAGAAGATTTGGTTTGAAGATGAAGTTTACAGTGTAGATGGGTTCTATTTTATGTATGAATCACTAAATAATTTTTCCCTCCCTCCCAGCCTCCCTCCTTCTTTCCCTTCTCCCTTTCCTCCTCCCTTCCCTTTCCTTCGTTCCCTTCCTCCTTTCTTTTGCCTTTTTTGAATCAGTATCTCACTGTATATACTAGACTGGTATTAAGATCTTCCTGCCTAAGTTTTCCTGCGATTACAGATGTGTACCACCACACCCAGCTTGGAATAATAGTTTAAAATTTCTCATTTTTGAATTTTTATATAAGGGCAAGTCATAACCACTTCTCTGACCTTTTAAGATGTAACTGCTGATGTAGCTTTTTTATACTCACCATTATTAATCTATTGTATTAATGTATCAAATCTTAACTATATTGCTAGTCACTAGAATGCTTTTACTGTTTCCTTTGATGAATAATACTTAAAAAAAATTTTAGGCCGGGCGCCCGGTGGCTCACGCTTGTAATTCTAGCTACTCAGGAGGCTGAGAACTGAGGATTGTAGTTCAAAGCCAGCCCAGTCAGGAAAGTTCGTGAGACTCTTATCTCCAATAAACCACCAGAAAAACTGGAAGTGTAGCGTTCTCGCTTTGAGCTGAAGAACTCAGTGACAGTGCCTAGGCCCAGAGTTCAAGTCCCAAGATGGACCCCCCCCCAAAAAAAAATAAGCTGTGTGTTGTGTCTCATGCCTTGAGATCCCAGTTGTTTGGGAGGAGATTGGAGGAATTGTTGTTTGAGGTGATCATGGGCAAAAAAAAAAAAAAAAAATTAACAAGATCTATCATAAGGGACAAGCCAGACATAGTGCAACATACCTGTAATCTCACTTATACAGGTTGAATAGAAGGGAGGATTGCTAAGACTAGTCTGGGCAAAAAGTGTGAGACCCTGTCTTTACGGCAGAAAAGGCTGAGGGTTTGGATCATGTGGTATAGCACCTGTCTAGAAGGCATAAGGCCCTAAGTTCAAACATAGTACTGTCCCCCAACAAGTTTTTATATATACCTCCTAGTCTTTAGAGTATATATGAGTTTCATGTAAAAATTATTCTTATGTCCAAGATTTCTTTCTGTTATCATTTCTTTCATTTTGAATATTAGTTTTTGTTACTTTCAGTACAGATCTGGTTCCTTCACTTTTTAAATTTGAGAATGTCTATTTTACTTATTCCTGAAGAATAATAAACTGAGTTTTGGAATTTTGGGTCCTTTCATTGAGCATTTGAAAAATGTGGTCTGGTTGGGGATGCTCAAAGGTTATAGCAGTGCATGATATTAGATTCAATTCCCTTCAGTACCAAAAGAAATGTTCCTTCTTCCTAGCCACTTTGTTTCTATTCTTTTGGTTTGTTGTCCTCTCTTGGAATGCTTCTTTTCTCTCCCTTTTTCTTCTGGATGCTTTCAATATTTGTTTCTTTTCTGTTTTTTAAAGAAATTATTGTGTCCAGCATGCATTTCTTTTTCTTTAATCCTGTGAGGGGCTCTTAAGCTTCTTCTTTTTTTTTTTTTTAAGATGATTGGATTTGTGAAGTATTTTAGAGTTTTTTTTCCCCCAATGCTGGGGGCTGAATCAGATGAGAAATTATATCAACTTATTTGCAATTGGGCATTAGAGTTTGAAAGATTGTTAAGGTATTCATGTTATTTAAAGTGTTAATTACTAAGTATTAAAGTTTTATTAAAATAGTAATTTTGTTTATTGAGCATAACTAACATATGAAGAGATTTGTGCTTACATGCCTTAACATTTTATTGAAGGCTATAGTGCATTTATTAAAGCTAATTTTCTCTTTATATCCTTTTTATTGTTCAAGGTGGGAAAGGTTTTTATTCCTGGACTTCCAGCTCCTTCTCTGACGATGTCCAACACAATGCCTCGGCCCAGCACACCCCTTGATGGAGTTAACTCTCCTAAGCCCCTTAGTAAACTGCTGGGATCATTGGATGAGGTAAAAATGCGTTAGATCTTGTCAAAAATTAGTATTGTTTCTAAGAAGGATGATAAAATGGGGCTTGAACTCTAGGCCTGGGTGCTGTCCCTCAGCTCTTCAACTCAAAGGGAGCGCTCTGTCACTTGAACCACAGCACCACTTCCAGTTTTCTGAGTGGTTTATTGGAGATAAGAGTCTCATGGACTTTCATGCCCAGGCTGTCTTTGAACTGCAATTCTCAGATCTAAACCTTCTGAATAGTTAGGATTACAGGCCTGAACCCCCTGTGCCTGGCCTGAAATTAGTTCCTTTATACAGTTAACTTCATTTAGGTAATACTTAAAGAACTAATATAATTATTTAGAGAAAAATGTTTTTAAAGGTAAGTGGTAGTGTTACCACACATTGACCTCTTGTGCTGTGTGTGCTACTCTTTGAAGGTATAGAGAGATGAAAATAAAACACTCTTTCCTATGTAGGTATCACTCATTTTACTTGCGTGGCATTGGTTTGTTGTATGCATCAGAAATTTTAACTTAAAGGGCTGGGATGTAGCTCAGTGGCAAAGCTTGCCCAGCAAGTACAGGGTCCCCAGTGCCAAAAAAAAAAAATTTTTTTTTTAACTTAAGGTTAACTGCTAAGTCTCATGAACAAGGAACACAGCATACCATGGGAAGATACATCTTGATGGGGTGACATGGCAAAATTGGAGCCTCATCTCTGGGAGCCATGTCAACCTTGTCTTGTACCTTGAGGATACACATATCATTTGAAAATATAAAAGGGCATTTGTTTCAAGGAACACACACAGACAGGAGATTGCAGAACAGTTCAGTGCTTACTTGTATTTCCATCCTAATATCCAAGGTAAGGATTCAATAGATCTGTGGAATGAATACTTAAACAAGTAAAAATAGTTTGTTGGATGAAGTATGGTAAAAAGTAGATGATAGTGTATTTTGAGCATTTTTGGCATGGTCCAAGTGATTTGTCAGTATTCACACAGTTAAGTCCTTATAACTGATTGGTAAAATACTGCTATCATCCTTGTAGTATAGAGGTACTACATTGAAGTTACTTGTCTAAAGCCAGAAAATTAATGGAGATCCATACTTCTATTAATGTGCTCTTAAAAGGAAGAAGGATGAAACGGATTTTTCTGAGTATTAATGTCAGATATTAGTCTTCTGAAGAAGGAGTTATGAATATCATGATCTGTTTAAGACAGGTTTGTCTTGGGATTCAAGGAAGATGGGGGAGACCAATTAGATTCTGAGTGAAGATGCTTGTGTCAGTATAAGTGATACAGAGAGTCTGAGCTGGGGCCATATATGCGAAAGGAGAGAAGTGACATGAGAACCCTAGAGAGGTGTAAATGACTGCTGTCAGCTGATTGCTTTTTGCTATCCTGGCTGGAATGGTGCTCTAGAAACAAGACTCAGGGTTTTCTAAGCAATAGGGATAGGTCTGTTGTTTACCAGATATATACCCTTTTCTAGAATGAACTGGTCTGTATTTGATGAATGTTTAAGTATAGATTTTGCTCATCTTTGGGAGCAGCAATTCAAGGAAGGTTAATACTGACAGTTCTTTTGGGTGCTGTCCAGGCTAGGGTTTCTTTCTTTTTTTTTTTATTGTGAAAATACTGTACATAGGTGTTACAATTACATGGGCAAGATAATGAGTACATTTCTTATCAAGCATTGTAGCCTCCTTTGTTTCCCCTTCCCATCCCTTCCCATCTCCCCCCCCCTCAATCCTCCCCCCTACCAAAGTTGTAAAGTTCCTTTTTCAACATAATGACTTGTACACCTCATTGTTGTAATGGGTGCACCTGTATCCCTATTTACATGATTTGTTTTTTCCCTTCCCCTCCACAAATTACACCGACATCAAATACAGTGAAAGCAGGGGTTATACTGTGGGGGAGGGACATGCAATGTCTGGTCTTTGGGGTCCCAGGAAAGGTAAATGCAGCCGCTCCCCATTCCCCAGCCTCCCTTAGCCCAAGCAGGAAAACTCATTAACACAGAACAAGCCCTTTTTAAGGCTAAAAAGAGCGGATGGCATGGCAGGGGAGGAAAAGGAACCAGTCACTGTAAAGGTCACACCCTATCATGCGCCTAAGCTTCCATGGGCTGGTTACCCACTGAATGCAAAGCAAATTGGGCTCTGCCCACTCAACTCCCTCTCAGCACCACCTTTGCTGCCCATGTGCTCTACAGATTCCCCCTTTTTTGTTTTAATGGCAGACCCACCTCCCAGTTAGTTATCCTTTTCCCTCCTCTGTAAAGGTTATTTTAACAGGATTACATTGGTAAGGATAGCATTGGCAAGTCTGGGGGTTGAGATTCGCCAGACAAGGATAGAGAGGGCCCTTGTGCATGATCCAAGAGCCCATCCCAGTTACCTCACATCCCTACCTAGCACAGTAATAAACATCAGCCCCGCCACAGTTAGAAGTTTCTGAAGCAGTTCAATTAATTCCTGGGCATAATCTCGTAAGGTTGTCCAGAACAAGGGAGCAGCCTAGGTATTACTGGGAGTTCCACACATGCGGCACGGTGCATCCTCGTGGGCCCCTACACTCAGGCTGTTCTACTATAGTCCAGAAAAACAAGGAAAATTTAAAACAAACTGCACACATAGCAAAGCAATCTTGGGCACCTGGTGTCTTTTAAGTGAGCCAGTTCCTTGTACGTGCATTTAAGCGAGCACAGGGGTCAAGATGACTTTTGAGCTTTACTGTCAGATCCCAATGGCTCCCAACAAAGCAACAAAGAAATCATCTTATAAATATGTTAGAAACAATTGCATGAAAGAAAAAAAAATTTGAATAGTTATCTTGGGGTTCATTTTTCTAACATCGACTTATCTGACCTTTTCTGCTTGACTCAGACATATACTAGTTATTGCAAATAAGGGAAACCATTGGACCTATGTTTCTTTGGGCCTGGCTTACTTCACTTAATGTAATTGTTTCCAAGTCCTTCCATTTCCTAACAAATGGGGCAAGGTCATTCTTTCTGATGGAGGCATAGGATTCCATTGTGTATGTATACCACATTTTCTTGATCCATGCATCTACTGAGGGGCATCTGGATTGGTTCCATATCTTAGCTATGGTAAATAATTCTGCAGTAAATATAGCTGTGCTGGTAGCTTTAGTCTTGTTTGTGATCATTTGGGTAAATGCCCAAAAGTGAGATTGCCGGGGAGCTCTATGTGGAGTCTTTTGAGGAACCTCCATACTGCTTTCCAAAGTGGTTTAACAAGTTTATACTCCCACCAACAATGCAGTAAGGTTCCCTTCTGTCCACATCCCCTCCAGTATCTGTTGTTATTAGAGTTCTTGATTCTAGCCATTCTAACTGGGGTGAGGTGGTATCTCAATGTTGTTTTGATTTGCATTTCTTTTATGGCTAGAGAGGTTGAGCATTTCTTCATGTGTCTATTGGCCATCCTTCTTTCCTCTTCAGAGAAGTTTCTCTTTAAGTCTTTATCCCACTTATTTATTGGGCAGTTGTTTCTTTGAGGATTTGTTGTTGGGGGATTTAATTTTTTGAGTTCCAGGTATATTTTAGATGTGAGACCCTTGTCCGTTGTATGACTAGTGAAGATCTTCTCTAGCTATGTCCTTTGCCATGCAGAAGCTCTGCAATTTTATGCAATCCCATTTGTCCAACCTTTGTTTGATTTGTTGTGTTTCTGGGTCTCTATTAAGAAAATTTTAGGGTTTCTTTTTGTTGTTTCAGTAGCAGGGTTTGAACTCATTGCTATATGTGCTGGGCTTTTTTGCGTATGTCTGGCATTCTGGCACTTGAGTCACACCTTCAGTTTAGCTGTTTTTTGTTAGCTTCGAACCATAATTCTTAGATCTCAGTCTTTTGGGTAGTTAGGATTATAAGTGTGAGCCACTGGCAGGTACCTGGCTGTGATTTCACTTTTGAACATATACAATATAGACCTTTTCTCTTTCATGTTAATACATTTACAGAACTTCTAGAATAAAAACTGGGAAACTCTTAGGATTTTATGTGATTTGGAATTTCTTTTGTGATTAAAAATGGCTGTCACTATTTCAGAGTTTATGTCTTTGCTAGTTATGAGGTCACAGGAAACCACAGTCTTAATCCACTGGCTGATGGTGTTTCCACTGCCACTTCTGTGACAGATTGTACTGTAGTCATAGAACCAGGATTGGTGGGTTGAGTTTTTCCTGCTAGGTTATGTAATAAGTGAATTGCAGGTTTGATTGGTTCTTAGTGTTGATGAGATATTCATTTAGGGATGTCCTATAAATTGAGTTACAGGAATATGTAAAGAGTCAGTGGCCAGAACTGGAAACTTAAAATTAGAAGCACTTATAGTTAGTAACAAGTTCTTAGTTTTTTTTTCTATACATATCTGTGGTTAAGAAACTAATTGCTGGTTGCATATATGTGTGTGTGTGTGTATATATATATATATATATATTTTCATTCAACTGTACTTTTTTTTGTCTTTTTCTTTTTTTGGTACTGGGGATTGAATCCAAGATGTTGTATTTGCTAGGCAAGCACTTTGTCACTGAGCTGTATCCCAGCCCTATTTTGTGTATTTTCAAATCAGTAGTTGTCTGTAGGGGAAATGACAGTGGTCTTACAACCCTTCTCTCTGGATTTTTAGTTCCTGAAGTTGTCTGTCTTGGCTGACAAATTAGGGTTGACGTCTCTAGTCTTGGTACTATTTCTAAAAGTACTGCTGCCAATCTCTTTTAGCCATGGCGTTTCTTGCATTGTCAGCCTGCTCATATATACCCCACATCTAGCAAAAAAAGTTCAATAGTCTGGCACCGGTGGCTCACGCCTGTAATCCTAGCTACTTAGGAGGCTGAGATCTGAGGATCACAGTTCAAAGACAGCCTAGGCAGGAAAGTCTGTGAGACTCTTAGGTCCAATAAACCAGTCAGAAAACTGTAAGTGGTGCCATGGCTCAAGAGGTGGAGAGCCAGTGTTGAGCTGAAGAGACACAGTGCACAGGCTCAGAGTTCAAGCCCCATGACCAACCAAAAAAAAAAAAAAAAGTTCAGATTTCCAGAGAAGAAAAAACATGAATGTTTGCCCTTCTCCCTCTGATTTCATTGTAACTAAAACAGAATTATCTAAATTACCATATGAAATCATTTGTTAGACTAGAGTAAAAAGCTGTAGTCAAGTTTCTTCATCCTTAATTTCTCAAATGTTTGTGACTTTTTATAGGTGGTTCTGCTATCCCCAGTTCCAGAACTGAGGGATTCCTCAAAACTTCATGATTCGCTCTATAATGAGGATTGTACTTTCCAACAGCTTGGAACTTACATTCATTCTGTCAGAGATCCTGTCCATAACAGAGTAACTCTGGTAAGTGTAGCTGTAAAACAGTAGGTAGCTTTCTAAGAATTGTGGCTGATATTTTCTTTTTTTGGGGGGGGGAGGGGTCCAGTTGTGGGGCCTAAATTCTGGGCCTGGGTGCTGTCTCTCAGTTGTTCAGCTCAAGGCCAGCACTCTACCACTTGAGCTACAGTGCCACTTCCGGCTTTTTTCTGTTTGCTTATGTGGTGCTGAGGAATCGAACCCAGGGCCTCATGCATGCAAGACAAGCACTCTACCACTGAGCCCTACCTTCCCATCCCCGTGGCTGATATTTTCAAACTTGCTAGGATGCAAAGTTTTGTATGAAAATTAAAATCTTGCGTTGACTGTTAGTCCTATTACGTACTATTTAAAAATGTTTAGAGACTTAGACTGCACAAATTCTCTTCATTTTTCCCCCCCTTTCCATTCTTTTCACTAGGAACTGAGTAATGGCTCCATGGTTAGGATCACTATTCCTGAAATTGCCACCTCGGAATTAGGTATGATTGAGAGTCACCCTTCATTTCTCTGTGTCCTCAATTTGATTTGTAGGCTTTGGAATAATTGATGATTTGCACCAATAATTGAAATTTAAGAAGTTATTTTGTTCCTTAGAAGCCACTGATTAGGTTTCTTCTTTTGCAGAGAAGCTAAATAGATGGAATATGCTTTCTTAGTACATTCTATATGCTTTGAGGCTGGAATGAAGTTCAAAGACATGCTAATTCTGTTTCCCTGGTGTTCCTTCATTCATTGTTTAGTGCTACTGAGGTTTGAACTCAGCTTCAGCCTTGCTAAGCAAATGCTTTTTCATATAAGTCCTGCCTTCAGCCTTTTTTTTTTTTTGGTACATAAATTGGTTGTTTTTGGATAGGGTCTTGAATTTTTGGCTGGGTATGGTCTTGAACCACAATCTTCCTACCTGTGCTTCGGTGTGGCTGTGACCACAGGTACGTATCAACATGCCCAGCTTAATTGTTGAGATGAAGTCTCACTAACTTTTTGTGCCCAGTCTGGCTTCAAACCCTAATCTTCCCTATTTCTGCCTCTCAAATAGTTGGCAGCACATGTCACAAAGTCCATTGATGTCCCTTTTAAAGGCTGAGGAGGAAGGGCTTATGGAATGATGAGGTGATGAGGCTGGTATATAGGAATGTGAATTCATTTAGAACATCTTACATTGCTACCTAAGCATTGCTGTTGGTGGATGCCTGTGTTGAATATTAAATTGCTTAAAACAATCTGAAGCAGTATTTTGTGTTAATTTTGTGGCTTAGAAATTGTCTTTTTCATAGCATGACCTTTATTGTCTAAAACGTGACATTTTCAAGAGTATACACAGGAACAATTACTAAATATTGGGACAGTAGATGTAAATCAGGATTGTTTCAGATGAACTGAGTCAAAATTAATGATCAGACATCTGTTCTCAGTCTTTTTTTGAACCCTGTCAGCTTAAGTAGTTTAAGTTTCAGATGGTTATCAGAGAATGTTTGCATCTACTGACTCTTTACCGCAATGTGCCTTTACATAGGAGTAATTCAGAAATTTTTCATTTGAAAGTGGGAAAGAAATTCTTGAATAGGAATCATGCTAAACTTAATCTTTGCTTTTAATAGTTCAAACATGTCTACAAGCAATTAAGTTTATCCTGCCAAAAGAAATAGCAGTTCAGATGCTTGTCAAGTGGTACAATGTCCACAGTGCGCCAGGAGGACCCAGTTACCGCTCTGAATGGAATTTATTTGTGATTTGTCTCATGAACATGATGGGTTATAACACAGACCGCTTAGCATGGACCCGAAGTGTAAGTAAATAACGTTTTTTCTTCACAAATTACTCAATTACAAATTAATTTTTGCATGACTAGTTAATATTCATATTCTAACATAACATATACTTAATAACAAGTATACCTTCTTCTAGGTATTAGAATAATATTAAAGTTTATCATATTTATGTGTTGTTAATAAAATATTCAATACAAATAACATTTTATTAGTAATTTTTCCCCCACAGTAGTGGGATTTGAACTCAGGGCCTACAATTTACTAAGCTGAAGTTCTATTACTTGAGCCATTCTCCCAGTCTTTTTTTTTTTGAGATAATATTTTACCAATTATTCTTTTTTTTTTTTTGGGGTCCGGTCATGGGGCCTGAACTCTGGGCCTGGGCGCTGTCCCTCAGCTCTTCAGCTCAAGGCTAGCGCTCTACCACTTGAGCCACAGCACCACTTCTGGCTTTTTTCTTTTTGCTTATGTGGTGCTGAGGAATCGAACCCAGGGCCTCGAGCATGCAACGCAAGCGCTCTACCACTGAGCTGTCTTCCCAGCCCCCTTACCAATTATTCTGCCCGGGCTGACCTTGAACTGTGATCCTTTGTTCTCAGCCTCTTGAGTAGCAAGGATTACAGGTGTAAGTCACTGGTGCTTGGCTATAATTAGTGACTTTTTGTGACTTTTTCATTTCATCTTTGTGAAATGATTAGAAGTTATGTAAGTATGGGTAGTAATCTTTTGTTAAAAAGCTAAATCATAAGAGTTGTGATTTACTCATGAGCCTACTGACTCATGACTTAATATTCTTTTTCTGCAGACAAGACTTATAAGACAAGTCTGAAGATAAGACTTACTGCTTGGCATGTGAGAAAGAAGGCTTATTTTTAGGAAATTTATTGCACTTTAGCTGAGTGTCTACCCTGATAATGATATAAAGCTATACACTTTACCTTTGTCGCCTGGAATCTGTTTTGCTCTTAATAGATGATGAAAGTCTGCAGTTTATTGCCTGTAGTGTTGGTGTTTTCTTTTTACTTTGGAGATAAGGAGGCGACATAGTACACTCTTACTTTTGTCCTGGTAATCCACCTGTGCCTATGTATACATTTCAGTCTTATGATAGTAAGTCCATTAAAACAATCTTTTTTATCTTCATTATGAAAGTAAATGTGTTTGCTGAGGAACATTTGGAAAATGGAGGACTAAGATGAAAATTATTGTAGCACTCTTTTGTATTTGCAGCAGTGTGGTTCTAAGGAGATTACCATTAAGGAAAACCTCACATACTTAAGATACATAGAATTCATTACTCTAAAACTGCTAGGATTTACCTATACTGTATGTATACTAGGTCTGAGCATCCATAATTTGAAACCACATGGAATAGGTTTTGTTATAGTCACAGAAATTAATGTTGTGGACTGGGGACATAGCTCAGGTAGTAGAGTGCCTTTTGAGCACTTGATAGGCCCTAAGTTCAAACCCCCATACTGAAGTTATAAGTTACTCTTGTAAGCATGAATACCATTCACCAAAAAGTCAGTCTTACCTCATGCTTTTATCACAAGTACTGTCATTGCCTGATTCATTTTTTTCTCTAATAGCATCCAGCTTCCATTAAAGATATATACCACCATTCAGCAAATATGAAAATTTCACTTTGTCATTTAAATTAAGCACGTTAACTTTTACTTTGCTTTTGGGACGCTATTTACTTTTGAGAGATGTCACAAAATTAAGGGAAGGAAAACTGCGGGTCACACAAAGATTTAAATATAATTGACACTAATTTGGGCTGACTGAGAGTTGATCTATATCAGGTGAGCTGTGGTAATGTGTGTTTAGGATATTAACATTTTTGTTCTTAGAATTTCTTTTGGCTTCTGTTGTAATTATTTTTCATTGTGCTTGGTGTTAAAAGTACCTGTAATAAATCTGTGAATGTGTTCAACTTACTGTAATTGCTTTATGAGGTTTTGGGGAATCAAACCCATGGCTTTTGTACATATTAGTCAAGGGCTATATCCTTAACCCTAAGCATTGTTGATACTGCCTTTTAAATGAAAATGACTAATCAGAATTTCTTATAGCATTAAGAATTATTATAAAACACTTTATACTTTAATTATAACCAATAGGTAATTATTAGGAGGTGTTGAATTTTTTTCTTTTTTAGTCATATTAGGGTTTGGACTGTGCTTGGTAGACAAGGACTCTCACTTTAGTTGTGCCTCCAGTCCTTTTTTTTTTCCGGACATGGGGCTTGAACTCTGGGCCTGGGCGTTGTCCCTCAGCTCTTCAGCTCAAGGCTAGCACTCTACCACTTGAGCCACAATACTGCTTCTGGTTTTCTGGTGGGTAATTGGAGATAAGAGTCTCACAGACTTTGCTTCCCAGGCTGGCTTTGAACAATGGTCCTCAGAGTTCGGCCTCCTGGGTAGGATTACAGGTGTGAGCCACTGGTACCCAGCTCCTCCAGTCCTTTTATTCTTCCTTCCATAATTTCATCTTCATGATGACCTAGAAGAAAAATTGTATTACAATTTTCTAGGTGAAAAATGAGTTTTGATGGTTTTCCTCAGTTTTCATAATTAGCAGAATTGATGTCTGAATGCAAATAATAAATGTATGATTTGTCTTCTTGTCGTTTTTTTTTTCCAGTTTGACTTTGAAGGATCACTTTCTCCAGTTATTGCACCCAAAAAAGCAAGACCTTCTGAGACTGGATCTGATGATGTAGGTATTCCTGATAATATAAATTAATTTAAGATTATTTTAATGCTAGGTGTTTTTCAAGAGTAAGTTCTGTTCTGTTTTGTTGTGTGTTATCATTTATTCACTGTTGTCTTAGTCATCTAAAAATTACTGTGAACACTAGTGCTGCTGCATGATTTCAGTGTGGGTTTATAGGTAGAGGTATTATATTGCTAATTAGTCACTTGAACTGACAGCCTTTATTTTTTCTGCAGTAACTCTTCAGGCTCCAATGTATCAGATCCTGTAGATACGTTGATAAATGGTCTCATTTTTTAATTTTTAAATTTAAAATAAATGGAAAGTTTGGTCAATTTGACATAAGCATATTCATGTAACTCATACTCCTATCGAAACACAAAATAGAATGTAGCTAGGCACATGTGGCTCATACCTATGCTTGTATCTACTATGAAGGCTGAGATGTGAGAATCTTGGTTCAAAGCTAGTCCAGGCATGAAAGTCCATGAGACTCTTTTTTTTTCTTTTTTTTTTTTTATTGTGAAAATACCCTTCAGAAGGGTTACAATTACATGGGCAAGGTAATGAGTACATTTCTTATCAAGCATTGGTGCCTCCTCCTTTGTTTCCCCTCCCCTCCTGTCCCCTCCCTCTCTCCCCTTTCGATCCCCTCCCCCCAAAGTTGTAAAGTTCATTTTTCGACATAACAACATGTATATCTCATTGTTGCAATGGGTCCACCTGTCCAGGCCCAAAGAAACATAGGTCCCATGGTTTCCCTAATTTGCAATAACTAGTATATGTCTGAGACAAACAGAAAAGGTCAGATAAGTTGATGTTAGGTGAAATGAACCATGAGACTCTTTATCACCAATTAACCACCAGCAATTTGGAAGTGGCGCTGTGATTCAAAGTGGTAGAGCACTAGCTTTGAGTAAAAGCTTAGAGATAGCACCCAGGCCCCATGTTCATGCCCTATGACCAACAAAAAACCAAAACAAAACACAGAATATTTCCATAATTCCATAAAGTTCCCCTGTACCATGTTTATTCACTTGTGTATTTTTTAACTTTCCTCAAGCAACCAGTGACTTGCATTCTATCACCATATTTCAGTTGTGCTTCTTCTAGAACTTTATATAAATGAAATAATGTAGTTTGTAACCTCTAATATATATGAAACCTTTAATTTCATTTATAGCTTATATAAAGAAACTAATTTCTCTTTGGTGTAATGTTTTGAAAATTCATATTGTTGTATATCAGTTGTTTGTTGGGACCTATTGCTGAGTAGTGTGAATGCACTATAGTTTGGTTCTGTATGCTGATGAGTATCTAAACCTTTTTTTTGTCCTTTGTTTTTTCTGTGTGTATGTGTGTGTGTGTGTGTGTGTGTGTGTGTGGTAATTGGGCTTGAACTGAGGACTTTGTGTTTGCTAAGCAAGCACTCTACCACTTGATCCATGGTTCTAGCTTATTTCCTTTTTTTTTTGGTGCCAGTCCTTGAGTTTGAACTCAGAGCCTTGACACTATCCCTGAGTTTCTTAAGTCAAGCACTTTATTACTTGAGCCACAGTTCTCCTCTGGCTTTGTTTTATTTTGTTTTGTTTTTGGTAGTTTACTGGAGATAAGAGTGTCTCACAGACTTTCTTGCCTGGTCTTTGAACCATGATCCTCAGATCTCAATCTCTTGAGTAGGTGGGATTGCAGGCATAAACCACCAGCACCTAGCCTACTTCCGTTTTTTTTTTTTTTTTTTAATGCCTGTCCTAGTACTTGAACTCAGGGCTTGGACTCTAACCCAGAGCTTTTTTACTGAAAGCTACTGGTTTACCACTTATGCTACAGCTCCACTTTTGGCTTATTGGTGGTTAATTGGAGATAAGGTCTCATTGACTTACCTACATAGATTACTTTGAACTGTGATCCTTAGGTCTCACCCTCCGGAGTAGCTAGGATTTCATTTGAACAATTTGAGTGTGTACAAAGTAGTTTGCCTCAGTGATTTTAATTTAACTTTTTCTGACTATTAGCTATTTCTGTCCTTTTTAAAAAAGTGTTTGTTTAGATCTTTCAACTTCTTTAGTTGTATTTAAAAAATAATTTATTGAGCTATGGAAGTTCCTTACATGTTCTAGGTAAGAGTTTTTTCCTATGTACACTTGTTGAGAACATTCCTTTCTAAAAACCAGGACATCCAAAATATATTATTATTTCAGCTGTTCATTTTTATGGGGTTTATATAATTTGCTGTTTGTGTACCTTGTAAGAAGAGGGCTGAGAAGGTGGTTCAGTGGTAGAGCGCGCTTGCCTTCCATGCATGAGGCCCTGGGTTCGATTCTTCAGCACTACATAAGCAAAAAGAAAAAAGCTGGAAGTGGCGTTGTGGCTTAAATAGTAGAGCGCTAGCTTTGAGCTGAAGAGCTGAGGGACAGTGCCCAGGCCCAGAGTTCAGGCCTACCTTGCTTAACATGATTTGTTCTAGTTCTGTCCATTTCTTTGCAAATGACATTATTCTTTCTGATAGCTGTGTAAAAGTCCATTGTATATAGGTACCACATTTTTTGGATCCACATATCTATTTTGGGGCATTTGGGGTTGTTTCCGTATTTTGGCTACTGTGAATAGTGTAGCAATGAACATGGATGTGGAGGTGTCCTTATCATATCCTTGCTCATGATACTCAGGGAAGTTGCCTAGGAGTGGTTGTAGGGAAGGTCTAGTTTTTTTGAGGAACCTCTTTTTTTGTGCAATTAATATATAATGATAAAATTACCCCCCCCCCAAAAAAATAGTTCCTAAGTAGTAGGATTCTTCTCTGGAAGTCTCTATGAAAATATGATTGGACTTTTTGATACTCAAAAAAAAAGTAACTCATCTTTCCAGGCTCTGGTGGCTTGTGCCTGTAATCTTAGCTACTCAGGAGACTGAAATCTTAGAATTACACTTCAAAGGTAGCCCGGGCAGAAAAGTCCATGAGATTCTTGTCTCCTTTTAACCACCAAAAAAGCCAGAAGTGGAGCTGTGGCTCAAGTGGTAGAACACTAGTCTTGAGCAAATGCTCAGGGATTGCACCTAGGCTCTTAGTTCAAGCACCCAGGACAAGCACCAAAAAAACAAAAATAAAAATAAAACCTCAACAAAAAAAGCAGCTTGTCTTAATGTTCACTACTGGCATCTGGAAATTGCTTGGCTATTTTATAGATTCTTTTTTCAGCATTGTGTGGTTTTTTTCTATTAATAGGCCAACTTAAAATGGAATTTGAATTGTTTAAGTGAATTTGCCTTTATTATTGATGACATTTCAAGGAGACATTAAATAAACAATATCCTTTTTATTCTTCTTAGGACTGGGAATATTTAATAAATTCAGACTACCACAAGAATGCTGAGTCTCATCTTTTGACCAGATCCTTAGGTTTGAATTTGTTGAAAACTTCAAGGGTGAAGGATGAAGACTTGCCAAAAAACCTCATCCTAGATTCATCTACTCTTCTCTTTACTCATATACCTGCAATTTTTTTTGTACTTCACCTTGTCTATGAGGAGCTTAAGTTAAATACTCTAATGGGAGAGGGAATTTGCTCACTTATTGATCTTCTTGTTCAGCTGGCAAGGTAAATTTTGTTTATATATTAAAAACTGTCAAAAGGCCATAGACATGATACTATATAGGAACTTTATCAACAAGCTTCTGAAAGATACTTTCTCAGACAAATATAGCGTTTTTTTTTAATGAATCACACAACTGTAAAGATAGCACTAAGTAAGGGAACAATATGTTGGAATTTTTAGTCTATACAGAGTAAAGTAGCTGAGCATGGTAGTACTTAAATAAGTGAGGAAGGGGGATTGAATTTGAGGCCAGTCTGGATTATATTGGAAGCCCTTGTCTCTTACTCCTCCTCTAATAACCAGACCAAAATCAGTCAATCAAACAAACAATAAAATCCTTAGCTAATATCCCCATTTTCTAGAAGAAGGTATTGAAATTCATAAAGATTACTTGCTAGAGATTACAGAACTAATGAATTATAGAAGGTGAACAATACTATAGTGCTCTTTTTGTAAATTGAGCTCCATGGAATTTTTCTGGCAAAGAATTGGTTATAGGGCTGGGAGGTGGCTCAGTGGTAGAGTGCTTGTCTAGTATGCATGAAGCCCTGGTTTCGATTCCTCAGTACCGCATAAACAGAAAAAGCCAGAAGTGGAGCGGTGGCTCAAGTGGTAGAGTGCTAGCCTTGAGCAAAAGAAGCTCAGGGACAGTGCCTAGGCCCTGAGTTCAAGCCCCAAGACTAGGGGCAAAAAAAGGGTTATATTTGTCATACTGGGCACTTTGATATCTAAACACAAGAAACTAGATTTGATTTATCTATTTCATAATCATATTTTAAAAAATTAAGTATACATGCAACTGGCTAATCTTTCTAACTGACAGGAAATGCTATTGTGCCTTTTTTAAAATATGCTTTTAATATTTTTAGGGACTTAAAATTGGGGTCTTATGTAGATCACTACTATAGAGACTATCCAATGCTTGTCAGAACTACTGGACAAGTATGTACTATTGATCAGGGTAAGTATTTGAGTTATTACAGATTTTCTGACCGGTGTAGTGACATTTACATGTGTCTTTTTCAATGAATAACAAAGGACACATTCTCATTAAGTAAAGTCTCTTCACCAGGCTAATTTTGGTATCTAGTATTTGATCCCCAACTTTTAGTAAGTCATAACTTTGTCAGTATATATAGGAAAAACTGTACCCATCCTTAAGTTTCTGACTTAAAATAGTTCAAAGGGAGCTTCTGATGTTAAGGAATAATTTACATGTGTGTTCTCTAGTTAGTAGCTATTAGTCACATGTTACTTGAATTTAATTAAAATTAAGCATTTAATTTCTCAGTGCACTAGCCATATTTCTAATAGTAACCACATAAGCTAGTGGTTACCATGTTTTGACAGCACAGATGTAGGACTTTTCCATCACTAGTTTACTCTTCTAGACCTTGAGCTAAAGGGACCTGAAGTTTGGACCCAGTTCTTAAAGCTGAATCCTTGGTGTCCCCTTTGTTTTCTTACTTTTAAGATTAGGCCAGAAAACCTTGGTAAGATTTTATGTATGCTTTGGGAACCAGAATTTGCTAAATTACTATTCAGGATGGGATGAAATGCAAGTTGTTTAAATTTGCACATGATAATGTAGTCAGCTACTTATTGTGGTGGAAAATATGAAGCATTTTGAAGAATGTGGGAAAATGTTATCCTGATTGTTTTGAAATGACTGGTACAGTTAATCATCTTCCCTTTAGAATAAAATAGTGTTCTCTTACATGTTCTTGACTCTTTATAAACACTTATCTAATTTTAAAGGGCAAACAGGATTTATGCATCATCCATCATTTTTTACTTCTGAGCCACCAAGTATTTATCAGTGGGTGAGTTCTTGTCTTCAAGGTGAAGGAATGCCACCCTATCCTTACCTCCCTGGCATCTGTGAAAGAAGCAGACTAGTAGTCTTGGTATGTATTCAGTGTGGTGACTGTCTTGTTTAATGTTGTTGTTGTTTTATTAACATACATTAATTGTACATGCATTATGACATTTTCATACATACATATATACATACATGCAAACTGCATTTTTTTTTTTTTTGGTCGGTTGTGGGCCTTGAACTCCTCAGGGCCTGGACACTGTCCCTCATGTTTTTTGCTGAAGGCTGGTGCTCTACCACTTTGAGCCACAGTTCTACTTCTGGTTTTTGAATGGTTAATTGAAGATATGAGTCTCATGGGGCCTTTTCTGCCATGGCTGGCTTCTAACTGTGATCCTCAGATTTCAGCCTCCTGAGTAGCTAGGATTATAGGTACGAGCCATCAGCACTGGCAGGATATATACCTTAAACATTTGTATTTCCTCTGAGAACTGTTCATTCAGTTTACAGCTTACCCATTTATTACTTGGATTACTTGTTCTTTTACTGTTTAATATTATGAGCTCTTTTTATAGTCTGAATATTAATCCTTCATATGTTGAAAAGTGGCGGCGATTTTTTTTTTTCTTCTTCTGTGGGTTATCTGGTTTTCTGACACCAAAAAAACCAAAAAACCTCCACTATCCTATGGAACTCAGCCTCCTTAAAAGCTAAGTTTGCAGGTGTGAGCCATCAATGGTGTGTGTGTGTTTTGACCCTGGTAACTTGTATTCTGTTGACAAGAAATTTGCCTATTTTAGGTACCTCTTGTTAGGCTCATACAATATTTACTAATCCTTATTTTCTACTACACAAAGAGTATTCCACATAGAATAATATTTTCAGAATTTATTCATGTTATAGCATTGCCAAAATCACATTCCTTCTTTTTTTTTTTTTTTTGGTCAGTTGTGGGGCCTGAACACTCTGGGCCTAGGTGCTGTCCCTCAGCTCTTCAGCTCAAGGCTAGTGCTCTACCATCTGAGCCACAGCACCACTTCTGGCTTTTTCTGCTCATGTGGTGCTGAGGAACCGAACCCAGGGCCTCAAGTGTGCAAGGCAAGCACTCTACCACTAAGCCAACTTCCCAGCCCCCACATTCCTTCTTAAATGAATAATTATTGTGTAGATACACAATAAATAAATAGTAAATAAATAGTTTCTCCTATTCTCTATTCATGTATACATGAGTTATGTCCACCTCTTGGCTGTTGGGGATGATGCTTCCCTGTTAACTGTCACTTGTACCAATCTGTATAAGTTGTACAATCCGTAAGTCTGCTTTGGGTTCTTTTTGATTTGTACTTGGAAAGGTATATACTAGTTCATATAGTTTGATGTCCATTTCAGGAACCACTAAATGTATTTTATATTAGCTGCAGTATTTTATATTCCCACCAACAATGCAAGAGTTAGGGTCTCAATTTTATTTTAATTATTTTTTTGTCGGTCATGGGGCTTGTACTCTGGGTCTGAACTCTGTCCCTTAGCTTTTTATCTCAAGGCTAGTGCTCTACCACTTGAGCTACTGCACTACTTCCGGTTTTCTGAGTGGTTTATTGGAGATAAGAGTCTCATGAATTTCCTACCCTGGCTGGCTTTGAACTGTGATCCTCAGATCTCAACCTCCTGAATAGCTAGGATTATAGGCCTGAGGTAGGCGTGAGCTACCAGCTCCGACAGGTTTCATTTTTAATACATTCTTGCCAACTTTTTTTTCTTGATTTTTTTTTTAATAGCCATCCTAGTAGGTAAGAAATAGCATTTCATTGTGGTTTTCTAATGAACAGTGATTTCTCCAATGGCCAGTGATGTTGAGGATATTTTTGTGTGCCTATAGCCAATTTATATGTTCAAGGAAATGTCTAAGTTATTTGACTGTTTTTTTTTTGTTGTTGTTGTTTTGTTTTGTTTTTTGGTTGGTCATGGAGCTTGAACTCTGGGCTTGGGTGCTGTCCTTCAGTTCTTCAACTCAAGGTGAGTGCTCTACCACTTGAGCCACAGCGCCACTTCTGGTTTTCTAGTCCTTTATTGGAGATGAATCTTATGGACTTTCCTGCCCTGGCTGGCTTTGAACTGTGATTCTCAGATCTCAGCCTCCTGCGTAGCTAGGATTACAGGCATGAGCCACTGGCACCCGGCTCCTTTGACTGTTTTTGAATTGTAGTTTTTTGAAAATGATTGTAGGTATCTGGGCACCGGTGGCTCATGCCTGTGATCCTTGCTATTCAGGAGGCTGAGATCTGAGGATCACGGTTCAGAGCCAGCCTGGGCAGGAAAGTCCGTGAGACTCTTTATCTCCAATAAAAACCACTAGAAAACCAGAAATGGTGCTGTGGCTCAAGAGGTAGAGCGCTTGCCTTGAGCTGAAGAGCGCAGAAACAGCGCCCAAGCCCAGAGTTCAAGCCCCATGACCGACCAAAAAAAAAAAGTTTGTAGGTGTTTATTAGCATATTGTTGTAGTTTATCAAGATAATTTTATTAAGTTTATTAGAATAATTAAGATATTGTTATAGGACTTTACTAATTAAGATATTAATCATTTTTCTTCTCAAATACATGATTTAAAATATATTCTTAGTAAAATTGGCTTTTGTGCTCAGCTTACCTTTTCGTCTTTCTTTAGATTTTTATACTCTCAGTATTCCTTTACCACTTGTGTGCTCACAGACCTACTTAAAAAATACGTGAAAATAAACAACAGAAGCTTTTAGTTTTGTCATGAGTTTTATTATTAGACTTATTGGATGTTTTGCTAATGAGATATTTGTAACAATCATTCTAGACTCTTAGCTATGGCTCTACTATGTCTGCAGGTACTAGTGGAGATATGGTATTGGCTGGTTACCCTTAGATGAAATGAAGGAAGGGAAAATAAGGAAGGGATCTAAGGTTTATTGTGGGCCTATTGTCTTTAAGAAGCTTCCTGATTTCTTATTTAATAGGTATATTTTATCTATATTATTGTGCTATTTTTGATTAATGTGATTTACATCTAAAAATAGATTAACAATACATATTTTTGTATTTGCTATAGGGCATATATTTAAACTTTTTGGATAGAATGGTATATATGTATTGTGGACAAAAGGATGTGGTAACTTGCTTTCTTAATGAAAGAAAATACTACTACAGCTCTTTGGAATTTAGAGCGTGGAGATTAAATAAAGATTATTTTGCCTAGTAGTTAATCCCACCTCCACATCCAAAATAGATTGAAAGCAGTTAACATTTTAAAATATGTGTGTGGTCATATGATTTGGCACTGTAGTAGAAACCTTTATTTTTTCTTTTTTGAGACCTATTTACTAGAAAAATTTTCGTGGTATTGTTTGTAAATAAGCATAATGTTTTAAAACAAAGCCAAATTGAGATACTTCTAAGTAGCTCTTAGATACTACTAGGATACGACTAGATACCCATTAGGATGAGTAAAATTCAGTTTTGGTGAGAATATGAAGCAACTGAAACTCATTTTGCTGATGAGGCTGCAAAAATCGTGCAGAATTTGGAAAACTGAGTTTTTTGTAAAACAATTCTACTTTTAGGTGTTTACTTAAGAGAATCAGAAACATACCTATACAAAAATTCAAGTGTGAATGCTTAAAACAGGTTTTCTCATAATTAACACATTGAAAACAACCCAAAGGTCCACCAATTTTTGAGTAAAATTAGTACATCTGCATAATGGAATAGTTCAGCAGTAAATAGAAACAAACTTCTAATATAAGCAGTAAAGCAAATGATTCTCAAAGGCACTATGCTACATTACAGAAGGAAAACATGAAAGATTATATGTTGTATAATCTCTTTTACATAATGTTGTAGGACAGGCAAAACTGAGTCAAGAAAAGGTTTCTAGTGTTGGTGTAGGAGGAAGTGGGGTGATGGTAGAGGGCACGGGGAGCCTTTTGCTGTAGTACAGATACTCTGTGTTGTGAGTATGCTGTGGTCACATGATTTTATTATGGTTGTCATGGAGTCATAGAGTTTTAACACCTAAAATAGATAAATCATCTAACAGTATTTTTTCCTCCCTAATTATACTTCAGTACTTAAAAAAATATTAATAGTACTTATATATCCTCAACACTGGGTAGAATAAGGCAGGAGGATTACAAGTTCCATCCCAGCCTGAGTTATGTAGTGAGATCCTGTCTCAAAAACGTTTAAAAAAAAAATGACTGTTTTCTATTTCTACAGAGTATTGCCCTCTACATCCTTGGTGATGAGAGCTGTGTTTCTGATGATGCCTCACAATATTTATCCAAACTAACTATAAGTAAGTTGATATAAAGCTCAGCTTCTCAAAAGAATTATTATTATTTGCAATACTGAGATTTTGAATGCAGGCTTGCACTTGTAGGCAGGTGCTTTACTAGCCCCTTTTGCTTTCAGTATTTTTCAGATGTAGTCTCTCTCTTTGCCTGGGCCAGCCTGGACTAGCTTGGACCAGCCTGGACCACATGTTCCCATTTGTACTTACTCATGTAGCTGGGCTGATATGTACAAGCCACCATGTCCAGGTTTTGTTTGGTTGAGATGGGATCCTGTGAACATCTTAGCCTTGGTTGTTCGTGAACCAAGATCCTCTTGATCTCCCAAATAGCTACCAGTTGCCACACTTGTCCTAAAATACATTTGTACAAATGCCACTATCATAACAAGAAAATTAAAATGTTTGTGTTTGCTTTAGAGGCCATATGTTGCTTCTTCTATGATGTTTTAGTATAAAATCCAGAAGTTATTTTTGTATGCCCTTTCTGTTAATGAATTTTTATTTCCAAGTGTCTTTACATATTTTTATGTATTCTTTCTCTCAGTGAAGCTATTCACAGAAAGTTTCATTTTATTGCCTTTTAGCTCCTCAGAAGTCACAATTGGAGCAAGAAGAAAAGAGGTAACTTTTATTCAGATCATGTTTTCATATTTAGAATTTAAAATGGTACTGTTATACTGTTGTGTTTAATAATTGTGTTCTATCCTATATAGGTTTAGTTTCCGGCATTGTACGTCTGTTTCTAGCCTAGCTGAAAGATTAGTTGTTTGGATGACCAGTGTGGGTAAGAGCATCTACCTTTTAACTAGGTCCTGCTTTTTGCATGCTTCCTGCATGCTACCTAGAACTGTCAGGTACAAGGGGAGAGGGGACCCAGCTGTGTGTGAAAAGACCTAAGACTGAAATTATGGGTCATCAAACCAGACTTCTTCCAGGCAATTTCATAAGTTGTAACAGTAGTTAGGATATTAGCTTTTTACTTCTTAGTGCAAAGATGTCTTTATTTTTTATTCCTCTTAGTATGGTTGAGGCTCTGCTAATATAAACTGGAGAACTTTCATCTGTATATTTGAACTTGAAACCATAATGATACACAGGTTTCAAAAATAATTATTTCTGGCAAAGTCTAAAATTATGTAAAAATAAGCTTTTGAAGGATAAGGGCCAGGGGACTCAGGTATCATGATGAATGAACCAAACATTCAGCTGCGAAGGAGAAAAATAACCTTTTGAAAACAGAGCTGAAAATTAAAAAGTACTGATGAGCATATGTTAAAAAAATGGTGCTGTCTTTTATATGTGTGTGTATAGTTAAAAAATAATTTTTAATGAATATTACAAGATGTTTCTGAGTTCTTACCTAGAGAATGCCTAAATGAAGTACCTCACAGGTTTTCTTTTTTTGCACACCACCTTGAGAATGATAATAGTTGTCTTACCTGTATAGAATACTTATGCCAGAAATATCAGATGAGTTCTATTCATCTTTATATCACTTGATATTTAATAAAATGTTATTCTTAACTAAGGAACTATTTTGCCTAAATAATGATCAACTTTCTATATTATAAATAATGTATAATATTAAAGTTGCAAAAAAAAATAGAAACATAATTTGAATTACCCTGAGAAATCTAAATATTTAAAATATGAACTATGTTATACATTCAAAGAATGCATGAACTGTATATGTTTAGTTGGAGAGAATATTTGTTACCCACCTTTAGGAATAGATTATTACTACTGCAGTTGTAGGCCCCTGTGTACTTGTTCCTGTATGCTATTCTCCTCCAACATACCTCATTGTTATATGTGAACACTATCCTGCCTACATTATTTCTTATCTTCACCTTGGTTTTCTTTATAGTTCTACATTTTATATAAATATATATTTGACAGAAATGTTCAGTCTTCTTCAAACAGCATTATTTTAAAGATTTATCCATGATAACTTATGTAGAAATAGGTCATTATGTTGAAATTAGACAAAGGAACTTGTATTCCTTTTGTGGCATAGTGAAACAGTCTTCCTATTGGATATATTTATACTTGTATCTTTGGGCATATGGGCACAAGTTTCTTGTGACTGAGTACATACCAGGTCTCCCAGTGTGATTATACCAGTTTACATTGCTCTGTGTACTTGCCAGGTCTTAGTGTTGATTGACTTTAATACTTGTCAACTGAATATGAAACTATTTCGTCAGTTTTATTTTATATTTCCCTGACTACTCATTGAGTAGATCATCAGCTCTTATGTGTCTAAACCATTTGTATTTCCTCTTTTGGGAAGTTTGTTTTTGTTATTTGTATTTTCCATCTGGAGTAGTTTGTCTTTATTTTGGGAGTTCTCTTTTTTTCCCCTGTGTTTTTTTTTTTCTGTGTCAGGGTTTTAGGTGTTCTCTTTGAGATCATTTATACTATTTCCTGATAGCAAGCATACCATGTGCCAGTAAGATGAATAAAATGAATTTTTTCTTTAGTCGTTAGGACAAACTTTCAGTAGCCAGTCAGAAGATTATTGGAGGAGTTGCAATTCTAAATTAACATTATCTTCCTTCTTTTCACTGCAAGGATTCACTTTAAGAGATTTGGAAACTCTTCCTTTTGGAATTGCTCTTCCCATCAGAGATGCAATTTATCATTGTCGAGAGCAACCTGATTCAGATTGGCCAGAAGCTGTCTGTGTCTTGATTGGACGTCAGGATCTTTCCAAACAGGCTTGTGAAGGAAACTTACCCAGAGGGAAATCTGTGAGTATCGGCCTAGGAAATTTAAAGTTCATTTTTGTCCTTAGGAAAAAAGAAAATAGAATGCTTTTATTTTTTTCTGTGTCTCTTTTTGCATATCAGTTTGTCTTTTTTTTTTTTTTTTTGTCAGTTGTGGGGCCTGAGTATCAGCCTAGGAAATTTAAAGTTCAGTTTTATCCTTAGAGAAAATTAAAAAAAATAGAATGCTTTTATTTTTTTCTGTATCTCTTTATGCATATCAGTTTGTCTTTTTTTTTTGGTTGGTGGTGGGGCCTGAGCTCTGGGCCTGGGTACTGTCTCTCAGCTCTTCAGCACAAGGCTAGCGCTCCACCACTTGAGCTACAGCGCCTCTTCCAGCTTTATCTGCTTATGTAGTGCTGAGGAATCAAACTCAGGGCCTCATGAATGCAAGGCAAGCACTCTACCACTCAGCCACCTTCCCAGCTCCATAAGTTTGTCTTTTATATTCTAGATAAGGTTTAAAATTGAACATACCACCATCATCATCATCATCATTATTATTTCAGTAGGTAGGCTTGTGCTTTCTAGGTTCTTCCTCTTGAACCATGCTTTCAGTCCTTTTTAGCTCTGTTATTTTTGTTTGTTTAGATAGGCTCTCACTTTTTTCCTGGCCTGTATGTGGAATGTGATACTTCTATTTTAGACTTCCTGATGTAGCAAGGATGACAGGTATGTACTACCATACCCTGCTTCTTCTGTTAAGATCTCAAGCTATTTTGCCTGGGCTGGCCTGGAACTGTTAACCTCTCTATCAGCCTCCCAAATCGATAGGATTACAGGCTTGAGCCACCATGCCAGTTCTAAACACATTTTAATAGTTGCAAACTGAACACAAAGCAGGGGATTTTGTGACTATTATGTCTCTCCTGGACTTTTCTTTGTCTTGAATCAGGATAAGTACTAAGTCAGCAGAAAAACAACTACGACTGTAGTAATTAAGCTGTTCATTGACTTTTGTGTAGAAAAAATTGGATGACATGTATCATGAATTTAGGTGGTTAAAATATACCAGTTTTCTTTCCCAAATGCTTTTGAAGTGTTGAATTTCTTGATATAAACTTTTAAGTAAGTATAAATATATTTGTTTAATCATATGGAAGTGAAGCCCTTGGCAAAAAGCACTTTTTTCTCCTCATGTTGTTTAGAAGATGTCATGAAATACTCTCCTCCATTTTATCTTTTTAAGAATGAGTTCCAAGGAGCCTGAAATTAAAAGTAAGGTTAAATACTTTATCACTTTCTAGTTATCTCCCTTTTAATTTACTTAAAATCTTAAAATGAGACTTGTGAGGACCTGGTTGACAAGTTAATTTGAATGTATCAAAATCTCTAGTAGAGAGGAGTTTGGATGTTTCTTACACAAAACAGTGATAATATTTCTGGTGACTGACATGCCAGTTACCCTGATCTGACCATTCCTTAATTTATTATATATTAAAATACCATAATGTGCCCTCAAAATGTGCATAATTATGTACTAAGTATTGGGTTGGAGGTGTACCTCAGTGGTAGAGTACTTGCCTATAGTGTATTAGACTGTATTTCAACCACAACACTGTAAAAATTAATTAAATTTAATTTAAAAAGGGAACCTTCAAATCTCTTAGAACTCTAATTCTAAAAATAAATAGTAATCCAGGTGTGGTAGTTTGTGCTAGCAATCAATCCCATTTACTCAGGAATCTGAGGAATTTGGTTGTGAGTTAGAGACTATCCCGGGGAAAGTTGGACCCTATCTCTTTATAAACAAAGGAACTTGGGATGTGGGTTGAATGGCTCTAGGTTCAATTACCCTTTTATCTTTCGCTACAAAAAAAGAAAAAAAAAAGGATAGCTTCTTTGAATCATCACACAATAATCTGTGCATTGTAACTATTGATAAATCACATTAGGTCTTGGACTATTAGCAGAGCGTGTATCAAAATTCACTCTTTTTTTTTAATTTTATTTGTGAAGATACTGTACAGAGGGGTTACAATTACATGGGCAGGATAATGCGTACATTTCTTACCAAGCATTGCAGCCTCCTCCTTCAAAATTCACTCTTAATCTCACTGTTGGTTATCATGGCCCTGTGCCTGAATCAGTTTCCATGACGATCTGATCTCCATGAATTTGTGTCTAGATGGCAACTAATTCTTAGTTGAATTAGTATATTTCCTGAAAACAAATCTTCTCTGCTAGTCCATTTTTTCTTGAACAAGGAAGACCTTTAGCACTTAGGTTTCTTTCTCTTTTTCTTTCTTCTTTTTTTTACTGTGAGTGCTGATCATTACCACAAATATTTTTATCTATATTTAAATATAATTTTAAAGAATTCTATCTAAATCAATTTGTTTAGTTCTGGAGGATACATTTTATAACAAGTTTCATCTAAATTCAGCTTGTCAGCTATTTGGGTTTATAATGGATGAGGTTAAGTAATCCAATAGAACAACATACTGTCACCTAATGATGTGCTACAGTTTGAGAACCATGTCATTAGGAGTTTTTGTTGTGCGAATATTAAAGTACTTCCTGCTACAGTGTCAGTAAGCATAAATACTATTTTCTGGAACCATCATTAATCGGATGTCCAGCATGCCATTGATAGAAACATAGTAATGTAGTGCATGACTAGAGTTGCTTTTATTTTGTTAATATTTTTTTATTGTGAAAATACTGTACTGAGGGGTTACAATTACATGGGCAAGATAATGAGTACATTTCTT